CACTGAACTGGATCTAAGGAGGCCTGCCTCCTATTCCTGGCTCTGCCAGAGGCCTGCTGGATGACAATGAGCAATACACATCGCTCCTCTGTGCCTCTGTTTTCCCATCTGTAAAATGGGGATAATGATACTGACCTCCTTTGTAAAGCACTTTGAGATCTACTGATTAAAATGCTACATGACAACTATTATTTAGCAGCTTATTTTAATCACCTTTTTCTTTTACTGAATTAATCATGGCACTTTGGTTGCAGTAAGTATTTTAATCTGTTTCTAAAACAGTTATCCACAAGTTTTTAAAAGTCTTAATTTGTTCATTTTGTGCCCCCCAATATTTTTCATTACTACTAGACAGTTTAAAAATTCAATCAATTTGTATTTAAAAAGGTTCTATCTCGCAACAAATAGCAGCGGTGATTTTTATCTTAATGATATTTAATACTTAGTAAAAATATTTTCAAAATATTTCCTGAATTTCTATGTAAATTTACTTTGATGTCTGATATTTCAGGTGACACACATTGTGCCTGATTTCTCATTTACATTTGGAAGTGGAAAGGGGTCTTAGTGTAAAAGAGATCAGGCTCCGAGAACATTGAATTAAAAAACCTAGTCCCTGACTTCGCAAGATCTGGTTTCCAACTGGGAACAGAAAACAACAAAAGGAAAGGATCTTAGTATCCGTAGTCCTGATGCTGGAGTTACTTTTATGAAAATAACTGAAAAAACCCACTGTTCTGTATAATGTGACCTTGCTGCCAGCCATGGCTAAACAGAGGCTTGAGAATAGAAAAGATGGGGGATTTAGGTCAGACCGCAGCAGAACATCTATGGAAAGCTAGAATATCTTTGACCAAACAGAAAACAGTCTGACATATTTATGAGGGCTAATGGCTCTCAAATTTTAGAGAGAGAAAAATTTGTAAAAATATTCTCTCAACCATTTCAAATTTCATCAGGCTGAACCTTATCCATGTTATATGCTCAAAAGCAATTTTTGTTGTTGCAAATATGATCTGAGTTCATTAAGCTGATCAGTTTTAAAAAGTGCAACACCAATATCAACCTGGTTTCACATACTTTGTCAAGCTTGGGTCTAGATTATTAAGATCTTTAATTGGGTCAATTTGAAATGGGACATATGTAGTATTTGCTATTATGCACAATGATAATTTTTCTGCTTTAGCACCCATACCATGCGGCACAATTATAGTTGTATATCCTGAATTTTCTTAACATAAAACCTTACACACACCAAGGTAATATTTTTTTACTTTAAAGTGTGCTTGGCTTTTAAAATAAACAAAAAACAAAGTGAGTCATCATGAAAAACTAGAGCTGGGTGTGTATTTCCCATCAATTTTTTTTTTTGGTGGAAAATGTTTCTGCAAAAGGGAAATTATCTATGATAATATTTCAATTTTCCACCAACAGAACTGAAACAATATAGTTTCTGGTCAGATTAACTAAACTGAAATGTTTCTCTTTGTAAAAACAAATTGACACATTTCATTTTGCATCAATTCAACAATTTTTGTCTGCCTGAGCTGCAGCGGTGCTTCCTGGGAGCTGTAGTTCGGACGCTCATGCACCCATTTGCCTCTGTCCATTAGACACCCTGGTGGAACTACAACTCCCATGATACCCACAATCTCATCTCTGGCTGACCTGCTGTGGTGCACACTGGGAGTCATGTGGCTATGGTGCATCATGGAAGATGTGGTCCAGCCAGGGAGCTCAGCCCATAGAAGAGAATGGGGCCCTGAGGCAACAGTGAAAATTTCAGCAGAAACAGATTAATGTCAAACTAAACCAAAACTAAACATTCTGACATTTCCAAATTCAGTCATTTATGAACTTTCTGTTCAAGATGAAAATAAATGCTGAAATATCACAATTTTGTCTGGAACAAAAATTTCCATTTTTAACTATCTCTGAAATAGTCACTCTAGCCAATATTGTTTCTCACACAGACTGTGGGAATCAAACATTCAAATATATGCATGTACTGTTCTGTGTTTATTTGAATCCATGATTGGAATATACATGCCTGCGTTTATTACAATATACAGATGTCCAGTTTCAATATTGAGATATCTAGCTATAAGCAAGCTTCCCTCTCTTTCCCATGCTCAGACAACAATGAAAATGGCTAGAGCATATTGTGTTTAGAAACTACCCAAAATAAATTCACCTTTGAACTTGGATTAAATGCAAACAATTTCAACTCAAAGGGTGACTTTTCCAGAAAGTTGTGAGCAAATGAAAATGTGTTATAATTAAGGCTGCATGTTTGTCAGAGGTCACAGAAGTCATGGATTCCATGACTTCTGGGGCAGCCGGTGTGCCTGGTCCAGGGGCCACCTGAGCAGCTCAGGCAGCACATGGTCAGTCGCACTGGCCGCTGCTGAGGCAGTCTCGGGCCATCAATACCCCCCTCCCCAGCAGCAGCAGGAGTTTGGGTGTGGAGGGGACAGGGGTTGGGGCACAGGACAGGGTGAGGGCTCCGGGTAGCACTTACCTGGGGGGGGCTCCCCAGAAACTGCGATATCACCCTCCCTCAGCTCATAGACAGAAGTGTGGCCAGGCAGCTCTGTGGGCTACCTTTGCCTGCAGGCACCACCCCCTCCAGCTCCCACTGGCCACGGTTCCCGGGGGGTGGAGGCAGCCCGTGACCTGTCTGACTTTTACTAAAAATATCCAAGACTAAAACGTAGCCTTAGTTATAATTAAAGTGTCTCCTGTCAATTGCAGTTTTATTATAACCTTTATGCTTTGGTAAAGAGTGGCAGAACAATGACATTCTGAGCTACATTCACCCTTAATGCTGTTTCTCTTCCTGCTGTGCCTAAATGTTACAGCAAATTGGGTTTACAAAGATTTCAAAAGACTTGGCAATGTCACATTCTACTGTTACAATTCTTTTTCTTTCAATAGACGCTAAGTACGTTGACAGATGTAATTATTTTATTACACAACTACAGCTACACTATTTCAGCGCCTAAGAACTACACAGTGTAAGGGGGCTGTGACATGTCATTCCATGTTCTTTATGAAAATATGCTTTTCGTATTGACGTAACTGAGAGATACTTTATGCAAGATGGCTCATGTGAGATATGATTGGAAAAGTTATCATTTAATGAATGTGATTATCCTATTTGTATGCATGTATCATTTCTGTATCTGAAATTAGGAATATTGACAACGTATCCGTATTTCAGCTATGCTACTTTGGGTGACGCCCACTGCCAACCCTGCAAGTACAACAGTGGAAAAGCCAGACAGTGCTGATGGCCCATCAACAAGGACAATGGACAGTAAAATAGCTTAGTCTTCTTGTGAACCTATGGGTCAGCCTGTGAAGAATGGCTACCAGAGCCTTACAGAGTCAGGTGGTCTTGTCACCTGGATATGAAAACATTACCTGGGACTTCTTGTAACTTTCCCCAGTAAAGGACGGGGGGGGGGGGGAGGGGGAGGCAAACTAGGGAAACAAAGGACTCCTGTTTTATGCAAATCCTATTTAAGGGTGGGGAGTGAGGTAATCCGGGTCATCAGGTCTCCCCTGCTACCCCACCCAAGAGGACTCCTGGAAACAACTATGACTGAACAGGGGAAAGAACTGGGCACAGGTTAGAAGGGCATCTGGCCAGTGAAGATTATTATTAGATGCCATGTTTAGGGAGAGAACGCGCATGTAACCAGTTTCTTTAGTGTATTAAGCTTAGTTTGCGTGCTCTCTTATTTTCTTAGTAATCTGTCCTGTTCTGTCTGCAACCTCAACTACTTAAAATACACCTGCTATAGTGAATACATTTATTTCTGGTTTATAATATAACCCAGTTTATGTGATTTCTACCTGGGGGAGTGGGGGCGAGAATTGTGCATACCCTCTTCCACCTTGAGGAAAGAAGAGAATATAATATATCTTTGTGTTTGTACTCCGAGAGAGGCGGACATCTGAATCTGGAGCAAGTCCCTTAAGCTGCGTCTTCCCAGAGCTGATCTGCAGCTGGGTGTGGCCCTGCCTATGTGTGTGTTAGAGGAGGTTTTAAGAGCCCAGCTCAGCAAGACAGGTAAAAGGGGGAGCCCATGCTGGCAGAACAGATACACTTGGTGGTATCTCAGTACATCAGGTGACTTCCCGTCACAGGGGCCATCAAGTATTGTGGGATAATATGATTTACAAAGAAAAAAATCCAGAGCATACAACTTATTTACAAAAGAAGGTTTGGAGTGCTGTAGAATCCATTGCTTCTGTAGAAAATCCTGGCGGAAATCACAGCCCAATCAGAAGATTCACTTGTTGCCAAGAGCAACATCTGGCATCAAACAACAAATCATGCAACTCAAAGCTTAAGAGATAGCCTGCAACTTGAAATGACGACATTCACCAGGCCACATTCTGGCTAGTGAGAGGAAAGTGGCATCTGCTGATCCCAACTAAATGGGTGCCCATGCTGTACTCTGCAACAATGGCCATACTGTGGGATCATCATCTGGCCAGCAGGAACTGCAGGTAAAGCATTAGATGCAGGAATAAGCACGGAAAATATAAACACCATTGCTGGGTTGGGAATGATACGTGCACACGCGCGCGCACACACACACACACCACACTCTCTACCTCTAGACATTGTCCTATATCTCCTCTAATGAACAGCTTTGAGTAGCTTCTCCATGGGCTTAGGAGGGGAACTGAAATAGGAACGGCTAACTTCTATTCTGCACTCCCACTGCTAGGAGTCTATACACAATGCCTACCAGAATTCATGCCATTTTACTATAAAAATGTGTGACGTGTTAAATTAGCATTACAATTACTCCCACCTAGTCAACACAATTTACCTTTGAAAAACCCCATTCAAGTTCATGGGAAACACATCCACCAGGAGAACTTCGTTAATGCTCTTTTTTACAGTGGTTCAGAATCAGTGCAATTGTCTATGTAATTAATGCATTTCTTTTATAATAAAACACCAGACAAAGATGACTTACTTCATACTAGGGAGGATGGAGGCAGCTGTGAGAGGGGGTGAAAGTCGAGGAGGGACATCATATTCTTCATTTCCTAGATGGCCATTTGAAAATTCCTGAAAAATGGACAGAAATGTTACTTGGATATTGTTACTTATATAGCATCACAGGAGTGTACCGTTTTACAAGTTCAAAAAGATCTACTCGCCCATCCCCCAGGAGTTTGAAGCCTGAACTGATGGACACAACGTAAACACTTGCTGCAGACTTGTGCTCCTAAATCTTAGCTTCCATTAAATTATACATAAAGATTGAAACATTAATCAAGTATTAAAACTCATGCAATGTTAACTTTGAGAACTGGCAGACAGACTTAAACAGCAATGCAGAGGTGTGAATGGCCTTGTTCATAGAAATGGGGTAAGCCTGAAACCTAAAGATGACAATTTAGATGCCAACTGGTGAAAGGGCTAATATAAGGCCTCTCCAGAGCTCAATGGCATGGCATTTTCATATTGGTTGGCTACTCAGATTGAGTAACATGACACCTCTACTAGCCATGAGACTGGACTCATGCAACATTACTACAAAGCTATAATCGGAACTGTAAATGTAAACCCAATACTCTTAAAATATGACTCAAATTAAAGGGCTTTCAACAAGAGTCTAGCTGGATGTAAGGGTTGGTGCTTTCTCTATGTGAATTTGGATGGGAAAACAGTCACTCTGTAAACAATATCATGGACTTCTAGAGCTCCTGTCACTGGATCACGTCAAAGCAATTTACCAGCACTTATTAAATTCCCACCTCACCCCTTTGAAGTATGTATAATATCCACTTTACGAAATGGAGACAGAGGTTAAGCAGCTTGCCCAAAGTCACACAGCAAACAGACAGAAGAGGCAACCCACGTCTTTCAACTGTAGTGAGTTAAATCACAAATCATTCCTCTCTCTCTTCATAATACAAGTTATATATTTTCCAAGTAAAAGAAAGTTAAGTTACAGTAGAGCAGCTCAGAGTTAGACTGGTCTAAGAATCACTACTGAACCTCTTGATAAAACTGATTACAGTAGAATCAGGAATATTTTTCTTAGGTCATTGCAAAGGCCACAGCTATCTAATGTCTTAAAAATTATAGCTGGACAGCTTTAAATCATCGTCTTCTACTTATGGAAAAGATTTCTCAGTTTTCATGAAAACCAGGTGCAGATCGTTAAGAGTAAAAAGGTTTTAGGGCAAGATACAAAGCCCACTCACCCCAATAGCCTTAGGATAGGGCTGTCAGTCAAATCTCAAAGCTATATGTTTAATTTTAAATATAATTTTTAATATTTTTATGTTACAATACTTTTGCTTCACATTTGATAGCCAAAAATGTAGCAACATGTGCTAGCAATCAATATCTTCAACTTGTGTGCCTTCCTGCAAATAAAGAATACTGAAAATACAAAAATGGTAATTTTTCAGTTTTAAAAGGCAAAGCTATACAATGTCCAGGCAATAGATTTTAAGCCCCAGGGGCATTAAAAACACTTAACTCACATGAAAAAGGTAGTCTCTGATATCAGTAGGGAAGTCGAACATTCCACTCTGACAAAGGGCATGTTCATTGCCTTGATGCCTAATTTTAGAACCTACAGTTTTCAGGCGTATACAGCGGATGAAAACCAACTCCTCAGAAATAATATTTTCCTAATTAAAAATACAACATTTTTTCACCTGCTTGAAAAGCAAATGGAGTAATTCAAACAGTCTTCATTGGAGAAAGTCTCAAATTAGTAATTTTAAGTACTTGAGAAGTTCTCTATTTTACAGTGTTAAAGGTGATCTCCAGTAATTACTGGAAAATTATGCAAGTTCTCTTTATTCCTCTAAGGTACTCTATTACCACCTTAATTTTCAAATCCATCCTTTGGAATTAGCTGCTAAAGTACTACAATATAGGCTTTTAGCTATTTGTTTTGTCTTGTTTTAAAAACAGAGTTAGCAAATAAATAATGGATATACTCTGTTTTCATGAAAGTATTCTTCTCACCTGTCAAAGGACCAAGAAATTCAAGCTAAAAAACCTGAATACACAAATACCTGTGTACCTGTATTTTTTAATCAAAAAACAAAACTGAACACTAAAAAGGGAGGGCCCAATTTAAGTTAGGATACACACTTTTCCAGTTAAAAGAAAAAGGAGTACTTGTGGTACCTTAGAGACTAACGAATTTATTTGAGCATAAGCTTTCGTGAGCTACAGCTCACTTCATCGGATGCATACTGTGGAAAGTACAGAAAATCTTTTTATACACACAAAGCATGAAAAAATGGGTGTTTACCACTACAAAAGGTTCTCTCTCCCCCCACCCCACTCTCCTGCTGGTAATAGCTTATCTAAAGTGATCACTCTCCTTACAATGTGTATGATAATCAAGGTGGGCCATTTGTTAGGCCTGTCCTGTAGTAGGTGATTCTGGGAACTCTTCTGACTCTATCAATCTGTTTCTTCACTTCCGCAGGTGGGTACTGTAGTTGTAAGAATGCTTGATAGAGATCTTGTAGGTGTTTGTCTCTGTTTGAGGGGTTGGAGCAAATGCGGTTGTATCACAGAGCTTGGCTGTAGACAATGGATCGTGTGGTGAAGGCTTCTAACCTACTGACCGCTATTCCTACCTACATGCCTCCAGCTTTCACCCTGACCACACCACACGATCCATTGTCTACAGCCAAGCTCTGCGATACAAACCCCCCTCCCCCTCCCCCCAGACGTTCTTGTTAAACCCTGGATTTGTGCTGGAAATGGCCCAACTTGATTATCAAACACATTGTAAGGAGAGTGATCACTTTAGATAAGCTATTACCAGCAGGAGAGTGGGGTGGGGGGAAAGAAAACCTTTTGTAGTGGTAAACACCCATTTTTTCATGCTTTGTGTGTATAAAAAGATCTTCTATACTTTCCACAGTATGCATCCGATGAAGTGAGCTGTAGCTCACGAAAGCTTATGCTCAAATAAATTGGTTAGTCTCTAAGGTGCCACAAGTACTCCTTTTCTTTTTGCGAATACAGACTAACACGGCTGTTACTCTGAAACTTTTCCAGTTATATTGGCAATAACTACAAGGCCAAGTGTGGTTAATAATTACCAAAGCATTGTATTTTGGGAATGCAGTGTACCTAGTTTGTCGTTTTAGTTTTAAACTGAGTTTAGAGACTAAAAATAAGGGGAAGTGTCAAAACTGTGCATTACTGATATAGGTATAACACATTAAGAGCAAATGAGAAAACTTCATTAAGCCTCAAATTCCTAATGTCACTTTACAAATCAACTGTAATGTCCTCATAGAAGGAGGATGCTAAGAAATCCCTTGAGGGTGGGGTTTTTTGTTTGTTTGATACCAACATTCACCTTTGGCAAAGAATTTTCCCATGTGAATTGTTCATTTTAATCCACTTTTATTTGAGAGTGGTTTGCTGATGTGTGACAACAATAATGGAACAGTACACAGATACAAAATAAAAAAAGACATTGCTTAAGGGACAAATTTTAAGCCAGTCCTCCACATAATTTATTAAGTGCTGGTTCTGAACTTATTCGTGTGCAAAACTGTGCATACATACATGCCTCTGCATTTTACAGGTGCAAACATTTGCAATGTATACATTAAAAATTCTAACACTGACATGCACCATGATTAGAATTTGCACGTGTAAAACCCAGTAGCACAGATGCATGAAAGCACCCACATAATTTTCCACATGCACAAATCAAGGCCTAATGGCTGAAAACCATATCCTACTCTTCCAGTGAACGAAAACTCTGCATAATGTATTCATTTTCCTGAAGGATGCAACTGCACCTTTTGTGAAAGCTGTATTTTATGAGACACAACCACAATGATACTTGTGTAACACAAACTTGGACTTCTGACAAGTTTTATGATGTGCTCCACATTGATGTTGGCCACAGAGATGCTATATTTTTGCTTTAGGTACCTTGCAATAGCAGGCAACTGGGTAAATCCCTAAGGCTCTGTCTGATGTTCTATATTCACTGAAAGTATATTACCAAAAATAGTTTTTGCTGACTTGTGTGAATGCAAGTTTGCCACAGGAGTCAATAGGAGTCATGGACATGCATCTGAGGGCAACATTTGACCCTTATGGAAGAGATACTCTATTATTTTGAGACATCTAAATATAACCTTACATCAAACCACTATAGAGGACAAGACACTCAATCACACTGGAGCAAGAGAATTAAAATTCAATCATTACTAATGTAGAAGAACAGCTCTAATATGGGATGTTTACTCTTAGATAAGAAGCAAACTGTATCTGACCTTCTACCTCCAATACCAGGAGTACCTGCAGCACCTTAGAGACTAACAAATTTATTAGAGCATAAGCTTTTGTGGGCTACAGCCCACTTCATCAGATGCATACAATGGAACATATAGTAAGACACACACACACACACACAGAGATAAGTTGGAAGTTACCATAGAAACAGTGAGAGGCTAATTAGTTAAGATGAGCTATTATCAGCAGGAGAAAAAACTTTTGTAGTGATAATCAAGGTAGTCCATTTAGACAGTTGACAAGAAGGTGTGAGGATACTTAACATAAGGAAATAGATTCAATATGTGTAATGACCCAGCCACTCCCAGACTCTATTCCCACAGTCTCTACGCAAAAGAATAAATGGACACAAATCTGACATCAGGAACATTCAAAACATTCAAAAACCGGTAGAAGAACACTTCAACCTCTCTGGCCACTCAGTAAAAGATTTAAGGGTGGCAATTTTGCAACAGAAAAGCTTCAAAAACAGACTCCAACGAGAAACTGCTGAGCTTGAATTAATATGCAAACTAGATACCATTAACCTGGGTTTGAACAGAGACTGGGAGTGGCTTGGTCATTACTCATATTGAATCTATTTCCCCATGTTAAGTATCCTCACACCTTCTTGTCAACTGTCTAAATGGGGCATCTTGATCATCACTACAAAAGTATTTTTCTCCTGCTGATAACAGCGCATCTTAACTAATTAGCCTCTCACAGTTTGTATAGTAACTTCCAACTTATCTGTATGTGTGTATATCTATCTATACGTTCCATTCTATGCATCTGATGAAGTGAGCTGTAGCCCACGAAAGCTTATGCTCTAATAAATTTGTTAGTCTCTAAGGTGCCACAAGTACTCCTGTTCTTTTTGCAGATACAGACTAACACGGCTTCTACTCTGAAACCTCCAATACCAGCTACTGGCCTTTAGATGGCCCTATACATAACTGTTCTCAGGAACGATGCGAACAGTACAGTAAACATGCATCATTTCTTTTATGAAGCTTGTAAGACAGTGAAAGGTAGTTAAAATAGAAGCACATTCTCCAACTTAACAACTGTGCTGGATATTGTTTCCTGTTAAGATTCATTAAGATATCAGCAGAGATCTCACTAGATTTTCATTGCTTTGTGTACTTTTTCTAAAGCGATTTTTGATCACATCAGAATGTCAGCTATAACATGGCTCTGCCTCACCCACCAATTCCACAGCTTCAGGACTCTAGTACTAAAAAGCAGCATTAGAAGTTTGTTCCATTTTCAAAATTAATCACATTTATTTGGACATATTATATGTAATTTTCCAGAGTTCCTATAATGGATCTTGAGCCTACTTGCAATTTTGGAGGCAGAACTCACTGGCTCAAACTGCTTGTGGAGCTAGAAATAATTTGAACAGATTCGTGCCACACTCTGTGGATTGGGCTTAGCCACTTGATTCCCTTTCTTCTTGATCCTAGTATGGCAGACAGCCCAGGGAGAAGCAGCATAAAGCCAAAGCCAGTCCCTCCTGCACCTAGTGTATGGAAAGGGAGCTCTGCTAGTTTTGTGGACAGGGGAAGTTGCCCATGCCACACCATACTACTCAGGAGAGAATCACACTAGCCTCTCCCTCCGTCGGGCCACAAGAAAGCCAGAGCAGCCCAGAGCCTCGAAGGGAAGTTGTAAATGGCATCACCCTCCATCTTCCAATCCCCTTCACTATAGAGAGCCGATGAGGCATCCTCTGAGGCTGGCTCCTTCACATCAAAAATTACTATCTCCAAGCTACCCATGTCTGCCTTACCAGCCACTGCTGGTTACTGCAGCTCCAACTGCAGGTGCCCTCTATCTCCCTGTTGAAGGCCACACAAGGAGTACAGAGAACCAGACAAAGATCCAGCTGCCAAAATGGATGTTATTGCAATTAACTGCAACAAGAATGAGCAGAGATACAAGCATAGCTCAATTCTAGTTATCCCAATACTGCAACCTTATGGCTTTCCTTCAGTGAGGTTTACAGGAGTGATAATATCAAATTGAGAATTGCAGCGCATGAGGTTGTGACTAAGGGCACTTTGGGTATGTCTACACTGTGACAAAATACCTGTGGCATGGCAGCAGCTGGCCTGAACCAGTTGACTCAGGCTTGCGGGTAGCAGGCTGCAGGACTATACAATTGCAGTACAGATGTTCGGGCTCAGGGTGGAGCCTGGGCTCTGAGACCTTACGATAGGGGAGGCTCTCGGAGCTTGGTCTCCAGTCCAAGTACACACACTGCAATTTTATAGGGGGACAGCCCCAGTGCTGCAAGCCCAAGTCAGTTGACCCAGGCTCAGATACTTGATGCTGTGGATTTTTTAATCACAATGTAAATGTGCTCTTTTTACTGTTAAAAAAGGCAATTTATACATTCGATTTATATGTATACACACACACACATATACACACACACACACACACCCATATACAAAGTATCTGATAATTTGTTCTAAATTTTTTAAAATGTATAAGCTATGACATGTGCATTTATTATTTACACATTTCGTGGTTTGCTGTGGTTACAGAGTCCGCAACTCATCTAAGACTGGAGCACTTATCAATAAACGTATGTGTAACTTTAATATGGTATTTCCAAAGCTGAATGCCAGACAACATATAACTGAGGTCAGTAACAGCACCAACTCTATGGATCATTTGCGAACGGTTTTTCCTGCGCTGCCATTTTTGTGATGGCTTCAAGTTAAAATTAAATCCTAACTCTGAACCTCATTTACTGCTGCTTTAAATTACAGAATTTAACAAGCCTCTCTTATTTATAGCCTTTCTATTAAGTATAGACAGGAAAGCTTCAAATGAAGCAGATCGACATCAGCCAACATAAAATGGCACTCTAACCAACATGAGATCTTCGCATTGGATTAACACATAAAATTAGGCTTCACGCTCTGTGCCACGCATTGCTTACCTTGGCACCTTCTAAAGGCAAATCATGGCGTCTATGTTTTCTCATAAATCCTGGGTCAGAACCCATTCGGTTGTGCCTTCCATTTATATTCGAACTTGCAGTGAGTCCTGGTTTGGGGGAATTGTCATTTAGGATTCGACATCCTATTAATGGATTTGTCCCAAACACATCTCTGGGGCACCAGGCTTCAAGTGGCACAGGCTGGTCTCTGGAAGGCACACTTTCAGGATGATGCAAATGTCTACTTATCCTGTTGTCCAGCGGGATTGGAGGGGGTCTCTCAGGTGGAGGTGGAGGAGGATCTCGCAAGGGAGGTGGTGGTGCTGGGAGGGGTTTATCTTGTTTCCTCACCATACATGGAGAAGACTAAACAAAACCAGAAATTAAAATAAATTAAGTCTACGGATGCACAACTCATGAAAACGTACCGCTTTACCTTTTTTGTCTAAGGGAAAACTTCAGGCATAGGCTAAGCAGGCATTTGTCTAAGATGCGAGATATTAAGGTGGCATTATAATAGTGTTGGGATGCCAATCCCAACCCCCTTCTTCTCCAGCAGTGGGGTTCTTGATCAGAAACTCTCTCTTCAGAAAACATGTTCCTCTTTCTGCCGGGGGGAGGGAGGAGAAGGGCTGGTATCTCTAGATGATTAAACTTCTCCAGAATCCTCCTTTGCTCTGGCTTCCACAATATCTCCTTTGAAGCACTGCTACAGGTCATGCAAAGGATTCGGAGACATATTTGGGAACTCAAAATGTCTTTTGCAGAAAACAGCATTTTTGGAGTGGGGAATAATACCGTAAAATGGACTGGGTGGTGAGGGAGGGAAGGAGCATGGAGCAGCAGCGGTTAGGGACCAGGAGGCAGAATGGACAAGTCCCATTTTTGTTTAGAACGCATATGCACCTACGGTCAACTCTGCTCTTTACATGCTGTCATAAATATAAAGGGAAGGTTAACCACCTTTAAATCCCTCCTGGCCAGAGGAAAAAACCCTTTCACCTGTAAAGGGTTAAGAAGCTAAAGATAACCTCGCTGGCACCTAACCAAAATGACCAATGAGGAGACCATATACTTTCAAAGCTGGAGGGGCGGGGGGAACAAAGGGTTCTCTCTGTGTGTTGTTTTTGCCGGGACCAGAGCAGGAATGCAGGTTAGAACCCCTGTAAAGGGCTAATAAGCAATCTAGTTATGCATTAGATTCTGTTTTGTTTAAATGGCTGATAAAATAAGTTGTGCTGAATGGAATGTATATTCCTATTTTTGTGTCTTTTTGTAACTTGAGGTTTTGCCTAGTGGGATTCTCTGTTTTGAATCTGATTACCCTGTAAGGTATTTACCATCCTGATTTTACAGAGGTGATTCTTTTACTTTTTCTTCAATTAAAATTCTTCTTTTAAGAACCTGATTGCTTTTTCATTGTTCTTAAGATCCAAAGGTTTGTGTCTGTGATCACCTATGCAAATTGGTGAGGATTTTTATCAAGCCTTCCCCAGGAAAGAGGGTGTAGGGTTTGGGAGGATTTTTTTTGGGGGGGGGGGGGGGGGCAGAGAGAGATGTTTCCAAGCGGGCTCTTTCCCGGTTATATATTTGTTAGACCATGATGGTGGCAGCAATAAAGTCCAAGGGCAAAAGGTAAAATAGTTTGTACCTTGCGGAAGTTTTAACCTAAGCTGGTAAAAATAAGCATAGGGGGTTTTTCATGCAGGTCCCCACATCTGTACCCTAGAGTTCAGAGTGGGGAAGGAACCTTGACACATGCCATCTATTACTAGAACAAACTTGTTCAAGTCACACTCAGGTAACATGCTCACTGTATATTTGTGCTTGCAGTTCACACACAGTACATTTCCTCTGTCAGAGCATTTTCTTGTTCAGATTTGAACAGCATCAGAAATTAAATAAAATATATTTTAAAATTGTTCGCAAAAATAATGAACCCAAGTATATTTTAAAAAGCAGGAAACTTAGTGATCAAAGGAATATATCTATGGAGTTACAAAGCTCCTATAAAAGTAGTATATGAGAAAAAAACTGGATTTTCATAAGAATTAAATTATTAACACCACCTTGCAAAATTATGCTCATCAAATCATCTGAGGTGTCCACCACCCCCGAAATCATTACTATTAATCATCATGGTAAAAGGTAGGCAAATTTTGTGCCTGGACGGTATAGCATTTTGCAAGGCTGAACTGTTTTTCTGAAAGATATGCTCTAGGAATAATTTTGGGTTAGTTTTATAGCCTGTATTGCAGTAGAACCTCAGAGTTATGAACACCAGAATTACGAACTGACCAGTCAACCACACACCTCATTTGGAACCGGAAGTACACAATCAGGTAGCAGCAAACACAAAAAACCCCCAAAAAACGCAATTACAGTACAATAATGTGTTAAATGTAAACTACTAAAAATATAAAGGGAAAGCAGAATTTTTCTTCTGCACAGTAGTTTCAAAGCTGCATTAAGTCAATATTCAGTTGTAAACTTTTGAAAGAATAACCGATGTTTTGTTCAGAGTTACGAACAAACTCCATTCCCAATGCGTTTATAACTCTGATGTTCTACTGTATACAGCATGCCAGACTAGATCATAATGGTCCCTTCTTCCTGGGGAATCTATGAATATTAACACTACAAGAAAAATAACCCACAATTTTGCTGAAAGGAAGAAAGCACTACAGTTAGCCTTACTCTGCAGGTACTCCCTCAATGAATTTCAAGGGCAACAGTCTATCACACTAAATACTAACTTATTCCACTAGTAGACCCCACAGAAATAAGTGGAACTACTTCTAAGGTGCTATGCAACGTGAGTAAAAGTGACTAAATCTAGCTTCTACTTAATGAAAAAAAAATCAGTGATGAACTTTTTCAAGAAGGCTACAAGGTAGAGCTGGTCGAAAAATTTCTGTCAAAATTGTTTTTCCAGGAAAATTGGGTTTTTAACTAAAAATATGTTTTTGTGGAAAGTGTCTTTCTGTGAAAAATTCCAACTTTTTGTTGCAAAATTGGAAATTCAGTGTTTGGGTTTTTGTTTTTCAACTAAAAGTCAACTTTTTTTTTCCAACCAGCTTTACTGCCAAGTTTTTAACAAAATGTAATTTTCTACTAAATAGTGGTATTTGGCTGAGGTAGCTGAATTTTTTTGGATTTCACAGAAAAACAGTGGACTATATACAATACTGAAAAGTGCATTTTCAGTGTGGGGTGCAAAGAATTCAATATATACTCCAAAAAGAAGGAGTAGTGTGTCTCTTTCCCTTTGTACTACACTAAAGAGAGGTTACTCTGCGTCAGGGGTGCATGCACCTCTCGAGCCCTTGGATCAGAGATTTTCAGTTAGAGTCTGTTCAGTCCATGCATGGGCCCTATGCCTCCTTGTGACGAATACCCTAGGGGTGCATAGGCAAATTGCCCTTAGTTCCTTCTCCACTTAAACATCCCCTAAAGAAAAGTCCGAAGCAGAGGGGAAGTAGGACAGGTAGTGGCGAACCCACAGGGGGACACATCTCAAGAACAATTATTGCACAAAATGAGTAACTTCTTCTTTGAATAGTGTCTTTATGGGTGTTCCACTTCAGGTGACTTCTGAACAGTAACCACAGATGGAGGAGGGAACTTCACAATAGAGTGCAGAACTGCAGAACTAAGTGCCGCATCAGAAGTGACAGCATGGATCAGGGAGTAATGATTTGAAAAAGTATATACTGAAGCCCATGTAGTGGCCCTACATATTTCAGATACTGGTACATTCTTCAGTAATGCCATAGGGCAGGGGTGGCCATACTGGCTTGTGAGCCACATGCAGTTTTTTTTCCCATTAAAGTGTGGCTTGGGGAGCTCCCTAGCAGCCCCGGCCTCCTTCCCACCTATCAGACTGGGGAGGAGAGTGGTGGGGGGAGGGGCAAGGCAGAGGTCCCAAGCTCTTCAAAGGGGTGGTGCAGTAGGGACTTCTGCCCTGCAGGGGCGAGGGGGAGTCTCGGGACTTCTGCCCTGCGGGGTGCACCTGCCAGAGCTCGGCGCTTCAGCAGGAGTGGGGCTGAAGCCCCAACCCCCGGCTCCCAAACTTCTGAAGATTGTCGTATGTGACTTGGAGGGCCAGTAAGTTTGCAGTCCCTTCCCCCCACCACCACGGCAGGGGTGGGCACTCTCTCTCTTTGGGGGTGGGGAATGAATACTCAGCATCATACCAAGTGACAATAGATCCAGATATCCATCTTGATAGTACAGATTGAGGACCCCACGGATCTATCTGTGAAGGAAGTTAAAAGCCTAGGTGACTTCCTAAATGGCTTGATCCTATCTGAGTAGAAGACTAATGCCCTTCTAATACGTAAACAGGATTCCTGTAGAGAACTATGTGGTTTTGGGAAAACCAATGGTAGATGAAAGGATTAAAGTGGAACTCCAATAGAATCTTGGGTAAGAATTTAGTGTGTGGACCATAAAAAGGGTGGGATTTGCCATCAAGGCTCCAATCTCCCTAACTCTATGGGCTTGCTACTAAAAAGGCTGTCTTCATAGATAAATGCAACAGAGAACAAGTTGCCATTAGTTCAAATGGAGAACTCATAAGGTAACTGAATACCAGTGTAGCCATTGTGGGGACCCATATAGAAGTGGAAGTGGCATGCAGGGTTGGTTTCACCACCCTTGGTAATAAGCCTGATGGATTCCTGAAGGGATATGTTGGAGAATACTCAAAAGAAATAGAGGATATTAACTGGAGGTCTCCTTCATCCTCCTCCACCTCATCTAAAGAAGGAGCACCCACAGAAAACAGTGGAGAGTCCTGTGGTACCAGATGAGGTAGTCCAGGGCTCCAGGTCTCAGTATCGAAAGACACTCAGTACCCAGGAGTGGGTTCATGCATTATCAGGAGGTCCTTAGTACATCTGAACTCCTGCAGTACCAAATAGGGGATCGGCACTGATTCGGAAGCCAAGGCCAGTCACCAAAGCTGATAGTAGCCAATAGTGGACATACCAAAGCAGGCACTGATGGTGTCTAGTGCCATTTCTTGCTCGGTGCAGAGGGTGCTAAATGCCTGGGTACAGACAACTGAGCTGAATGCATAGGTACTGACATTTGGCTGGACTCAATGGTGCCAGTTCTGAGTGTCTATGCTTGCCCTCCTTGCTGGTAAAAGATACCAAGGCCCTAACGGCGCCATCTCTCTCCTCATGTTCTGGGATTTTACTGCCCCGGTCATACCAGAGGGGTGTCCTTAAACTTAACAGTACCAAGTTGAGAGATTAAGCCTTCAGAGACTGTAGATCTCTCGAGGAACCTTGACTTCTTCTGAGCTGGCTCCTTAAAGAGCCTGTCCGTGCTCCTCTTTTTGGAAGTCTTCCCTGAAGCCTCCAAAGTCTCACCTTTCTTAGGGGAAGTCTGTGCCGATGTAGAAGAGGCACTGGATCTGTCAGGAGACAGATGTACGGGGGGGCAGGGGGGCCTCTTGATGTGACTCAGAAGCTGGCCAAAGGGAGCAATCCATCATTGGGTATCTGAGTTTAATCTCCATGTTTTTCCTTACCCTGGACTTGAGGGCCAGGCAGAAGCTGCACATCTAGGAGACTCCCCCAAGCAACGGACATGTTAAAGAGGTATAGACTCTTGGAAAGAAAGGCAACATTTGAAACCTGACAAGCCAGGCATGCCCTGCCAGGAAAAAAAATCTTCTCTCAGCTTATCTAGCTAACTATAACATAACTATATATAAATATAAAGACAATTGTAACCACTATAGGAATATTAGAAAAACTGAGAAGTGCTCAAGGCGGACACGCTAGGGCTGCATCTCAGGCCAAGGCAGTTGAGAAGGAACTGGGGATGGTTCATCCTTACAACCCTATATAGCCTCAGTAACCAGCACAAGGAGGTATAGGACACATGCATGGGTTGAATGGACACTGCTAACTAAAATCTCCGAACAAGGGCTTGAGAGGCATATATACACCTGAAGTGGAGCTCATAGGGCCACTACTCGAAGTTTGTGCTACTGAGTGAATTTGAGCATTAGCTGTAAGACCATAGCCTCTTTAATTAACTCTGTCATTTAGCTTAAACTGGAGCTAAAAATGATAGGGATGAGGAAACATTTTTATATACCTCATTTGTTTTGGCTAAGTATTATGCTGCTAGAATTAAATTTAATTTCAAAAGGAAGCTGAGTGTCAAGTGTAAAGGCAAAATGCTGATAAAAGAAATAGCGTGTTTATCATTGGACTACCATGCACACAAACATACAAATACAGATTTCAAAACAAGCCTTCAAAATTTAAGCTAATTCTTACATTTGTACACCAATTACAATAAAATGGTTCTCTCATAATAGAGAAAATTCAAGACACTTAAATCCAGTATTTTATGTATGTTCTCCTTCAGACTTTCAAGTAAACAATTTTTAAAACTGTTCTAAATCACCAGTTTTCTTCATACACAAACTGTATGTATTCATTTTGTACAATTTATTATTTCCTTTTCTAAATCCACTTGAAACATGGATCCTAATTTATCACACCTTAAGTTTTTGATAGCAAGATATTTGCATAATTTTTTCTTGCTAGGACATTGTGTAAATCATCATTTGATTACAGCATGCAATTTTAATGCAGATAATGACCTTTTAAATGTACTTTTTAGAGTACTTTCAGTTGCTGTTTAATGTTACTAATCAGGGACTATTACAGGGACTTGTTTCATCAGAGTAGGTCAATACCATGGTTTTAAAATTGTGAAATATAATCATGGGGCTAATCATGTGTAACATTGCCATCAAAACAGAGAAATATAAGCTTGGAGCTAATCCTGTGTAACACTGACATAGTAAGAAACCATGTTTGTGTGTCATTAGCTGATTCTACAAGACGTCCTATAGGGGGACGGCCATCAGGTCTGATCCAAGGTTCACTGAAGGCAACAAGTATTTCCACTGATTTAAACGAGGCTTCGATCAGGCCCTTATTTAGTGAATTCTGGCATGTTAGAATTACATAGGGACTTGGTAGAAGGCTTAGGGGATATTTTGGATATAACAAATTAAAAAAATGCACTAGCCAATCTTTAAAAAAAATGCACCTTAAAACTAACAAGCATCATCTCTCATCATTCAGTTTGACAGAAACATACTAAAATAAGATTTACCTTTGGTGAGCCAGTAGGGCTGGCACAAGGTGACCGTGCTACCCCCTTCTGAATGAGATCCAGACGGGGAGGCACCGGTGGAAGACTAATATGGGGAATTTGCCCGGGCTCTGGAAGTGGCTTTCTTCTCTGTGCAAGCGGAGAGGATCCTGGAGAAGTCACTGGTGAATTCTGTCTCTCATTGCACTTCAATACAAAAAAGAGCATATTACAAGTGTTTACCTGATCCATTAAGATTACAGCTTTCATTGCTTGATTAAGGCATTTGATATTGGAAGGTGCTTGCCATTAGCCATCTGCTAGAAGTGCTCATTACCCCACTTTTCCTGATTAACAGACACCCACTTTGCAAGGACAGCATTATTTAATGAACTGCTTTAATGTCACTCTTACTCCAAGTTTTACTGAGACCCAGTTTAAGTTAGATTATTAAAAGATTTAAAAAGAGACACAAAGAAATTAGATTATATATTATTGCAGTAGCTGAAACAGAAAAGAGGAGCAGGGATGGAAAGTTCACTATAGTGTTTTACTCTTGGTAAATGTTTATTTTATACGCAGCATCCCATTTAGGATTCTATTTATTATTTTTAAAAGCTATTCAATGAAGACTGAATCTTTCACTTACCACACTACATCATAGGTCATTTTAAAATCACACTTCAATATAAAGCTGAATAAGTTCTTCTAAGCTTTCAGTAAACAAAATCTTCAAGCCGGGATGCAACAGAACAATCATTTCTGATTCATTTGATTTATAAGTTTCCCTTGACCAAATTCAATTTATGTAAACCAATATTACATTTAGTATAAGTTTTTTTAATGTCCACAGGTGACAAATGTTAAGCTGATTTTTGTCTCAGCCTGTTTCACAAAATACACATTGCCATTGAAAATTAAGTAGTTTTCTTTTAAAAGGCTAATCTAAATATAGAAAAAGGAATGCAAATGTACCCTGTAATCTAAAGATAAATCCAATCCCCCAGGTTTCAATCCTCATATTAGGCCCTGTCTGTGCTACTAATATACTCAGTTTTGCAACCCATTCCTGAAACTCATCTCATTTATAAACACAGACATTTTAGTTATATCTATACAACATCTTTATTCAAAACACAGATGTGTGTAATGCTTGTAACACCATATCCTGGAAGGAAAAGACAGAATACTTGGGGGACATGCACACAGAGCAGCAGCACCTGGAGTGCTGGTGCACTCTGGAACTCAGACCACACAGAAGGCCAGGAGCCTAAACAAGTTACAGACGCATAAACGAACATTCCCGCCCCACCTCTAAAACGAATATATAAAGACAAACACTTTCCAGCATAGGCTGCTGGCAAAAGTGAAATACCAAATTGCTAGGACAGATCAGTTAGCTGTAAAGTTGTTTTATTATGTTTTGTTTTCATCTAATCTGCGCTTAAATAAGAGTCTTGCACACGATGAGATACTGACAAAGGCTAGATAACCTATCTTCCGTCATGAACTCAGGACTTGACTACACTTGAAACGCTGCAGCGCCAAGACATGGTAGCTAACATGGTAGCTAGGTCAACGGAAGAATTCTTCCATTGACCTAACACTGTCTACACTGGGTTAGGTTGACTGAACTATAATCATAGAATATCAGGGTTGGAAGGGACCTCAGGAGGTCATCTAGTCCAACCCCCTGCTCAAAGCAGGACTGATCCCCAATTAAATCATGCGCTGGGGTGCAGATTTTTCATGCCCCTGAACAATGTAACTGGGTCGCCGTAACTTTTTAGCATAGACAGGGCCTCAAGAACTTATTCAGGAAAGCACTTAAGTATCTGTTTAAGCTCACTAATTAAACAGGACTTGAGCACACGCTTAAAAGCCATGCACATGCGTACCTATACTCCTCACTCTGGAACCATAATCTAAAAAATCCATTTTACTAGAACAGAGGTGTTCAATATTGCAGGAAACAAGTTTATTCTCAGTCTTTTTATCAGAAAATTCAGTGTTGTGTTAAAACTGAATTGTTTGGTAACTTCAATTAAAGTAGTCAACTATTGCGTATTGACCCCTGTACAGGGGCAAGGAAGCGCCAATATCTGAACTGTCCAGGAAAGGTCTGGGTAATGCTTTTTGGGAAAATCAGGGACAGAGTGTTTTGGGTTCATCCTGAAGGTAGTAACCAATGCTGTTGGGAGCCAGAGTGTGGCTGGTGTGTTGTTGACAGGCTGCTGGGGTCAGAGTGGTTGGATCAGGGCTGTACACAGACACTCAGGGAATGACCTGCATGGTGTCAGAGAGGGTTGGGAGCTACAACAGCAAAGCATTGTGAGGCAACCAAAGTTGCAGGGCAGGTGCTGATAGCCCCTCACTGGTCTGGATTGCACCCCAGAATGTGACACCTATGTGCCTTAAGGCCATACCGGATAGAACAACCATCTTTAGAATGCATCTCCAAGAACACTCATCAGTGTTTCAGTCAAACACAGAAAGCAGGGTTAGAGTCAGTTTTCAGAGTTGCACTTTCAGTATACCATTACATTAACTTAGCTGAATAAACTTCTTAAAATTTTTTGTGTGAAAAGAACTCTGATATGAGGGTGATGAACACTATATGAAATACCTAAACAGATGAAAGCAGAAAATCTGAGTGCAGTGAATTATTTCTGATAGCAACGTGACCTGGGTTTTTTACATGCCACTTACAATCTATTATACTACATGAATCTTTTTCTAGTTCTTCTATGTGAAGTATTTTCTTTTAAGCACACTATTGTGAATGCTCCTCATTTTTTTCTTGACTCATCAGCCCAACAGTTTATTATCTTCAGAATTCAAGATGTTTTCCCATCTGTTAGGTTATTCTCCCATTTCACTGTGTGATAAGCTTTAAGCTCCATATCTATTCGTTATGTGACTATTTCTACTCCATATGCCATGGCTGGTAACTCACAAGTGTCAAAGTAATAAGGACTGTTTGTTCTGATCCTTCAGGCTTTGATCAGCTTGGCTGTTTGAAGTCTCTGAGTGGATAATCACTCCCTGATGGCGAGGGGCAGAGCTGAGTTGAGTTAAGCTAAGCGGGAGACCTGGTATATAAAGTCATTTGCTAGGCAAACAAGAACTGTGAACAGAGGTAGCTAGCAGGAGAGCTCCAGAGGAAGCTGAGAGAGGGAGTGTGAAAGAGTTTCCTTCCAGTTTCAGCTCTACATGTGATTTCAAGATGGACGGGGATGGAATAGTGATGATGACCTGCAATGGATACACCATCTTTTCTCCCCTGCCTGAAACCAGAAGCAGCTTCCTGTGCATGAAGTACAAGGTGGTGACTGTGCTGGAGGAAAAGATTCTTGGTTTGGAGGAGCAAATAGAGATGCTACCGAGAAACTGAAGAGTTCCCAGACTGCCAGGTTTGGGAAACATCAGTACCTCAGGTTCAAGGAAGAAAGGAACTGGCTACCAAAAAGAGCCAGAGACAGAGAGAGAGGATGTCAAAGAGGAGGCCTGGCAGTTTGTAAATCATATTGGCATTCCACATGGCTGGAGACAGGCAAGACTGGACAGGCTGTGCGCACTAGAAAGAAGAGAAGCAGGAGAAATTACACATAGCTGGAAGTTTCCAGTCAACAACAAGTCCTCACGTGGAAACTGTGGAAAATACTTCTCAAGATTCAGCTGTTCCAAGGAAATGGTGATATGTACAGAACACACCTCTCAATGGTAGTTCGGCGCAACCTATAAGAAACGCAAGCTTACTCACAAAGACTTCTCCAGCCATGCAAGGAAGATACACCATCTTTGCTGGGGATTCAATGCTCAGAAGAATCGAAAGAACATTCTGCAAAGGACAGGTCGATAATAAGACTGTGTGCTGCCTTCCTGGAGCCAAGACACGAAATGTCACTCAAAGATTGGATAGTATGCTGAAGCTGATGGGCCAGGATCCATTGGGGATGATTCATATCGGCACTAATGTCACTGCATCATGGGATCTCTCTCAGATAATAGATTACTTCAGAGAACTTTGAAACATGCTGAAGAAGAACATCTGAGTGATCTTCTTGGAGATCTTTTCTGTCCCATGAGCGAAGGAAGACAGAAGGTAGAAGATTCTGAAAGCAAACCACTGGCAGAGTTAGAGGGGGTTTTGATTTTGTGGACATTGGTCCACTTTTTATAGGAAAAGGGAGCTGTATAGTTTGGATATTCTTCACTTCAGCAGAATGGGAACCAATCTCCTTGAGCACAGGCTGGCTAGAGTAGACAGGAAGGTGTTAAACTAATAACAAAAGGGGGAGGATAAAAAGAGGGAAGATATGAGCACGCAGAACCAATCTGACATATTGAGAACAAAATTAATTAAGGAACCAAAGGGCATGAAGAGAAGAAATTCCTTACTGCCCATACAAGAGGAACTGGAATTGCCCATTGATTGGAATGTTCAAATCAATGGCAAATACCTATTTAGGAAGGACTGTGTGGGCAAAAGGGGAGGGAGAGTTGCACTCTAGGTCAACGATGACATTACGTGTTTCCAAGTCACTGGTAACTTGGAAGAAAATAATCTTGAATGCTTAGGGATCCATGTCCTAACAGATAAAGCACAAGATGGGCTATTAGTTGATATCTGCTACAGACCATCATATCAGAACAGGATGACTGGCTCCTTACGCACCTGTTTATAATGTTTGGGGGGGGGGGAAATAGCTGTGTAACCCTGTGGGACTTCAATTTGAGTGATATAAGCTGGAGGTCTCATACTGCCAGTACTAGAACATCCCTGGAATTTTTAAGTAGAATAGACGGCAAATTCGTGACTCTGAAAGGGGTGCATCCAACATAGGTGAATTCTATATTAGGACCTTGTCTTGACAGATAAAGAGGAACTGATCAGAGAACTAAAAATTAATGGTAGCTTAAATACAAGTGATTGTGACTTGATAACATTTATAATGTGCAAATAGAATAAAATCCAGATCAATAACTGGAATAACATTATAGTGACGCAGCAGCGCCATTGTAGGTAAACTTGCATCACAATATCTGTTTAAGGGTCAACTTTCCAAGTCCTCTAAAATGGGATTTCTTTGAAATTTCATGTGCCTCAGGAGGATGCAGGTCAGTGATCCAAATGTGGAGTGATTTGACCCGGGGTTCTAGAGATATAAGCCCTGAAAAATATTGCTATTTAAAAAAAAAAGTTA